TGCCAGAAATAGTATCTATAAGTATCTTGATGAACATACAATGTTTAAAGGGACAGGTGTACCATTTTGGGGGGGGGGGGGGGGTTTGATTTGAGTCTTGAATGTATGTAAATAGTCTTGAGAAATACTAGAAATGTATGAAAATCACATAATTCCTTCAACAATACTTCAAATATTACTCACTATTTCTATATATGTCATTTCTATATATCACAGGGTATCTTAAATTGATGAGTCGTCATTTTAACATTCAAACACAGATAATTCTGGACACACATGGTTTTGAACGCTCAAATTTCGACGGTGAGTTGTGAACACTATTACTGATTAGATAACAAATTTCAGTTTCTGAGACTAAAGTAAAGTAAAGTCAAAAAAATGGCCTACCTGTCCATTTAAAAAGTTGAGTTGTTGAAGTTAAGGGTCAAAAATGTATTAAGTGCAAATACTGTAGTGGAAACGGGTGCGTAGGTTGGATTTCATTTTTGTTGAACATTTTCATTAACAATGTTACTAAAATGTGCTATATATATCTATATATCTACTTGATCAAAGTGAATTTGTTTTAAAAGGGTTAATTAAAAACAGAAAGTACTTTGTTAATTAAGCAGTTTGACCTAGTTTTGATGTTTAGCTTTATAATGGCTTGTTATATTAAGTTGAAACCTTTAGAATACATAGGAGACATATTTCTCTACAATTAACCGTTTATTTTACTCAAGTCCATACAGTAGTTTTTTAACACTAACAGCTTCCAAAAATCATAAACTTTAAAGTTTATGTAAACTGGGGTTAAGAATTTTTTAGTCAAAACTTTCAGATGGGGGCACATTTCTCTAGATAGTTTTCACAAAATTTGAGCAAACAAAATTTTGCGACTTACAAAAAGAAGCAGAATGCCCCTTTAAATGCAATACCATTAGTATATATGGACATTGTGAAACTTCAGTTATGTATCAAGAGGCTTATGAGGCATTATATTCCTTACTGAATAATACTCTTCTCATGATCATTGACTTAGCCAAGTTTTCAAGGAGCTTTTACCATGTTAAATTCATCATTTTAATCATGATTTTATCATTAAAGGGGCAATTTCCTGTTAGCTACTTATAATGATTAAAGGAGATGATTGTACTAATTAAAGGAATGATCTGTAATAATGGAATTGTATATTTCTGGAATTATAAAGACTTACTTTGTAAGGGATTGTAAAGAGGTTTTCTTAATTTTTTATGTGTACTGGGGACACTGATGGCTTCAATTTGCCCCATTCCAATTTTCATTCCAACATTTGTGGTTCCTGCAATTCCACTAAAACTAATTAAAGGAATTTATGATTTTTAAGAATGGAATTGTATATTCCTGGAATTATAAAGACTTAAAAAAAACTCTGTGATCTTGATGATACATAAAGATATTTTCCTAAAAGTATGACTTATAATGTAATTTCAAATCTCTGTATCCCTTATCAATCTGTGTATCAGAATCAAACCAAATCTAAGTAAAGTTAAGTTAGTACACCAAGTAAAATATTAGTGTCCAAACTTCTGTTTTTGCACTCGTGTAAGTAGACCACTTTTCCTATTTTGGCTTGTTAAAACATTACGAAATCATGCACTAGACCTCTTTGGTTCATGTTTACTATAAATAATTCTACACACTTTGGAGGGAGCCGCTGTGGCTCAGTGAGACATGCGCTTGCTCGCAAACCTAAAGGTCCAGGGTTCAATCTAGACATAGTTTGAGATAATACCTTCAGATTTTTCAACCCGGTTTCCCCCTGTCAGTGATGAAGGTAAGAGGGGCTGACATGGATAAAGTGTCTAGTCGTTCGGATGGGATAATAAACCGAGGCCCTGCTACAGGCTGTGCACGTTAAAGAACCCTCGGCAGTTGGAAATCGAAAAAGAGCAGACTGATACTGCTGTCCTGGCAAAATTTTCCTCATTGCACCCTGCATGGCGTTGCCCGTCTTCATTAGCCCACATGGTGCAGAAAAGTAGGACGCAAAACTCCATTTCATTTCATTTGATATATTTTTTAGACTTCTCTATAAACGAGTTCTAGATTTCAACTCACTTCCATCGAGGTTTTTTCTCCATTAAGTAGTTTATAACAAATTCTGGGTAAATGATATGGAAAAGATGAAGAAGAAAACCTAAGAAAGGATTTCTGCACTGTAAAACCTTTCCAATTTATCCACTGTATTTTTTTAGCAGAAGACATAAATCTGATGTAGTCAGCAGAATAAATAGAACTGTATTTCTGGAGGATGTTTTTTAAGCCTGCTGCGGGCTGAGGAACTGTGTCTGATTATCTTTCCTGGAACTCGCATCTAGTTGGACTAATTAGTCACTCTCATGTCTGGAGGCGACAGATTTGAAATCTGTTGACTGTCGTCAAGCATGTTCACTGCCCCACTTATTTCTCTATTCAACATTCTTTAAAGATGGCCGACTACAAATTTCTTATTGTATTTCCATGTCAACGTAAATAGAGCAATTTTTTTTTCTTCTTGCTAAAATATTTAGTGTGCAACCTGTAAGAATCATACAAAATAGCATTAGGGAAAATTCTTCAAACTTCTATTTTTGCACTTGGGTAGGTAGACGCTTGTTAAAACATTGTGAAATCATGCGCTAGGCCTCTTCGGTTCATGCTTACCATAAATAATTCTACACACTCTAGGGGGAGCTGGTGTGGCTCAGTGAGTTAGATGCTTGCTCGCTAACTTGAAGGTCCAGGGTTCAATATGATATTTCGGTATTTTTTAATCAAGTGATATTATGAACAATATAAATTCCTATATCACTATTTATTGTGACTACCATATATCACGATATGGTGATATTTCGGTATTTTTTAATCAGGTGATATTACTAACAATATAAATTCCTATACCTGTATTTATTGTGATAACTACCATATATCACGATATGGTGATATTTCAGTATTTTTTAATCAGGTGATATTACTAACAATATAAATTCCTATACCTGTATTTGTTGTGATAACTACCATATATCACGATATTTCAGTATTTTTTAATCAGGTGATATTACTAACAATATAAATTCCTATACCTGTATTTATTGTGATAACTACCATATATCACGATATGGTGATATTTTGGTATTTTTTAATCAGGTGATATTACAAACAATATAAATTCCTATATCAGTATTTATTGTGACTACCATAAATCACGATATGGTGATATTTCGGTATTTTTTAATCGGGTGATATTACTAACAATATAAATTCCTATACCTGTATTTATTGTGATAACTACCATATATCACGATATGACGATATTTCAGTATTTTTTAATCAGGTGATATTACTAACAATATAAATTCCTATACCTGTATTTATTGTGATAACTACCATATATCACGATATTTCGGTATTTTTTAATCAGGTGATATTACTAACAATATAAATTCCTATACCTGTATTTATTGTGATAACTACCATATATCACGTTATGGTGATATTTTGGTATTTTTTAATCAGGTGATATTACAAACAATATAAATTCCTATATCAGTATTTATTGTGACTACCATAAATCACGATATGGTGATATTTCGGTATTTTTTAATCGGGTGATATTACTAACAATATAAATTCCTATACCTGTATTTATTGTGATAACTACCATATATCACGATATGATGATATTTCAGTATTTTTTAATCAGGTGATATTACTAACAATATAAATTCCTATACCTGTATTTGTTGTGATAACTACCATATAGCACGATATGATGATATTCCAGTATTTTTTAATCAGGTGATATTACTAACAATATAAATTCCTATACCTGTATATTGTGATAACTACCATATATCACGATATGACGATATTTCAGTATTTTTTAATCAGGTGATATTACTAACAATATAAATTCCTATACCTGTATTTATCGTGATAACTGCCGTATATCACGATATGGTGATATTTCAGTATTTTTTAATCAGGTGATATTACTAACAATATAAATTCCTATACCTGTATTTATCGTGATAACTACCATATATCACGATATGACGATATTTCAGTATTTTTTAATCAGGTGATATTACTAACAATATAAATTCCTATACCAGTATTTATCGTGATAACTACCATATGTCATGATATGGCGATATTTTGGTATTTTTTAATCAGGTGATATTACTAACAATATAAATTCCTATATCGGTATTTATTGTGATAACTACTATAGTTCTATCATGATATGGTGATATTTTGGTATTTTTTAATCAGGTGATATTACTAACAATATAAATTCCTATATCGGTATTTATTGTGATAACTACTATAGTTCTATCATGATATGGTGATATTTTGGTATTTTTTAATCAGGTGATATTACTAACAATATAAATTTCTATACTGGTATTTATCGTGATAAGTACCATATATCACAATATGGCGGTATTTCGGTATTTTTTAATCAGGTGATATTACTAACAATATAAATTCCTATACCTGTATTTATTGTGATAACTACTATAGTTCTATCATGATATGGTGATATTTTGGTATTTTTTAATCAGGTGATATTACTAACAATATAAATTCCTATACCTGTATTTATTGTGATAACTACTATAGTTCTTTCATGATATGGTGATATTTTGGTATTTTTTAATCAGATGATATTACTAACAATATAAATTTCTGTACTGGTATTTATCGTGATAACTACCATATATCGCGATATGGTGATATTTCATTATATTTTTAATCAGGCGATATTATTAACAATATAGATTCCTATACCTGTTTTTATTGTGATAATGGCATATCGCCCAGCCCTACTACTAGCATGTCCTTGCATTAAATTGTAAAAAAGAAACACTTTCCACCATATTGAGGCTTTTCAATTAGCTTTTTACGTTTTACATTTTTACCTAACAGTACTAAATGATCTAAAATATTAAAAGGTTTTTAATCATGATGGAAAAGCCTGGATTTTTTATGTCTATATGCCACCAAAACCACCAAACGGTATGTCCTAGAAAACAGGCTAATTTCCTGGCAAAATTTCCCTTATTGCACCCAGCATGGCGTTGCCGGTCTTCATTAGTCCACATGGTGCAGAAAAGTAGGATGTATAAACACTCACAGCAGCATTTCATTGGAATGGACATGACACTTCAGAACTTCGCCCCCTCCTCCCCTCCACCCACTTTAAAATTTTGTATGATTTTACATAGTGAAAGAATGACTTGTTGCTCCCCCTGGAAAATTTGGTGGCCCCTGCCCAGCCCATTCAACTAATGTTTCATAAAAATGCCACTGGTCTAGTTAACAACCTAACATTATTCTAGAGCAGGATTTTGTCACCTACTAAAAATTGTTTAAAACTTCTGGTATTTGAGTTTTATTCCCTGGCCATTTTGAATTAAAAGGTCTCTCCAATAACTAATCATTAGTTCATGTAACTTGATAATGGATTTGATTAACCTATCCTGTAAATTACCAATTCTATTTGTTTCATTTCGACTCTGGTCTAATTAGTCTTCTTGTAGACTCGCAGAAACCAGAGAAATTAACGAGTGGCCAAGGTCCTTTAATTACTTGTCATTTGACCATCTGACCTCTGCAGGGGTCAGTGAAATTTCTGATGACTTCTAAATATATTTTTTTAAATGGAATTTTTCCAGATTTGTCATTGAAAGTAAAACCTATTATTTCCTTCTTTGTCAGAGCTAGACTCTAGCAGTAAATGGATCCGAACACATTTTTTTTCTGAGGAAATGAGGTTTAAAGGAATTATAAAGATGTTTTCTATAAATTTTATGTGTATCAGGGACACTGATAGCATCAATTTACTCCATTCCAATCAGACGTCTGGTGTTCCTGCAATTCCACTTAAACTGAGTTAACAACATACATAATTACATAACACAAAGATAATCTTGAAAAAACAACATGTGTTACATAATTACATAACAAAAACAAAGATCATCTTGAATAACAACACATGTGTTACATAATTTAATAACATAAATTAAGATCATCTTGAAAAACAACATGTGTTACATAATTACATAACACTAACAAAGATCATCGTGAAAAACAACACATGTGTTACATAATTACATAACACAAACATAGATCTTGAAAAACAAACAACACATGTTACAAAATTACATAACACAAACAAAGATCATCTTGAAAAACAAACAACACATGTGGTACATAATTACATAACACAAACAACACGTGTTTCATAATTACATAACAAAAACAAAGATCATCTTGAAAAACGAACACTTGTTACATAATTACATAACACAAACATAGATCATCTTGAAAAACAAACAACACATGTTACATAATTACATAACACAAACAAAGATCATCTTGAAAAACAACACATGTGTTACATAATTACATAACACAAACAAAGATCATCTTGAAAAACAACACATGTGTTACATTATTACATAACACAAACAAAGATCATCTTGAAAAACAACACATGTGTTACATTATTACATAACACAAACAAAGATCATCTTGAAAAACAACACATGTGTTACATAATTACGTAATACACTCGAGAAGTCCACTATCTGAAATGTATGTACCATATCTTAAAAACATGGTACATTTGTGTCTGCTTTGTACTAAAATTTTATTCATACTTTTTACAAGCAAAGATCTCGTAATCTCTTTGAAGATGTATAAATGAAATTTCCCAATTTCCCTTTTTATACACCCACATGAAATTGCTCGTAAACACTCTACAAAACACAATTTTTGTCGGTTTCAAAAGAAGTGTATACTGGTGATTGTTACTGTACTGCTAAATATTTTTATTCTAAATTAAAGCTGCCACTGGGCATATATTACCTTGCCTGACAAGCTATCTTTAATTGAAAATGTTAAAAAATAACAATTCTGTTTTTCTATTTGCAGATAATTTATTTGGCAGCTGTAGATCTGTAGATGGCATCAGTTTGGGCATCAAATATGAGCTGATGACATCAGAGTACAAAAGATTGGGAGAAGAACTGGTACAGCTCAAAACAGACAGATATTCCTGGCATGATGCTTTTACACAATGTATTTTACAGAACACTCTTATTGCATTTGCCAAACGAGAAAGCATTAATATTAAAGACTACTGCGATTATGCGTTAGCTCGATTGGACGAGACAAAATCAAGATGGTCGGAAGGGGAACGGAAAGAAATCGCGACGGTATTAGAAAGACTTTTAGAAGCTAGTGAAATGCAACAAGAACCAGTTTTTTCAGAAGATGACGAAACCTGGGATGATCTCCGATCAAATAAACGTGACGAAATTGTCGAAGTGCACAAATATTTTGACAAATCTAAAGGTCTTAAACGCAATGTATACCCCACATTTGATGACTCCAACTACCTCAATGATGATCCGACTTATTTTGAAGAAGAACCCCGCAGAATTGACGAAACAGCTTTTGGTAGTCCTGGACAAGTCAAGGCCTACCTGCGTGTCCTGGACCAGCTCTCTGACTCAGCCAAACAATCTGGTCTTTTTGATCCTGACTTTCCTGCTAATGATGATTTCAAAGATGAAGAGCGAGGCATTGAAGGTTCCATGACCTCAGACAGTGAACCTAATTTTGGTAAATATTTCATTTGTATTCTTAAAGGTATACTACCTCTTAGGATGACCAAATTGAAATTTTTTAACTTGATTAAACTTGCGTTTTTGTTCATCAGTGGACTTACCTGGTATCATAACTATACAACAGAATCTCTCTATAATCTAATAAATCTATAAAACTAAGTAATAATTCATTAAACTAAGTAATTTTAAAACATGTTTAGAAGAGTGTTTCAATAATTATTTAGTTTAATAGATATATCGTCTTATATAGAGATTCTATTCTTTAGTCATGGTACCTGGTAAGTCTAACTGATAAATATATACACTTGTTGACCAAGATTGAGATTTTAAATTTTATGTCCATTCTAAGAGGTAGTATTCCTTTAAATATTTGCTTTACCAGTTTTATCAGGTTCTCCTACAATGTAACGTAAACATACAGCACCAATTAAGACTCTTGTCACTTCCAGGAACATTCTATAGTAACTTATCACCAATATTATCATTTTTGATAACTGCAGAATGTTAATAATCTCAATACTGAGACTCTAATTGATACATGAGCCATGGTGGCTTGGTACACGCTTGCTCACTAGCTGAAGGTCCAGTGTTCAATCTCGGCATAGATAGAGATGATACCTTCGGATTTTTCAACCCAATTTCCCCCTGTCAGTGATGAAGGTAAGAGGGGCTGACATAGAAAAAGCGTCTAGTCATTTGGGATGAGACAATACACTGAGGCCCTGTGTGCTACAGGCTGTGCACGTTAAAGATCCCTCGACAGTTGGAAATCAAAACAGTCTTATGCCGCTGTCCTGACAAAATTTCCCTCATTGCACCATGCATGGCATTGCCTGTCTTTATTAGTCTACATGGTGCAGATAAGTAGGACATAAAACTCCATTCATTTCATTTCTAATTGATACAGTATACGTTTTGTATCGAAGTGAAACAACCACATGTTAGATTCTATTCTAGAAAGTGACTCCAGTAGCTGAAATTTAACTTGAGAACTCAGTAAAGCAAATATTTAGATGATTGCATCCCTTTGGAACATGGAAGTTTTCCAAAGTGGAAATAAATAAAATTTTAATAACAATATGGAATTATAAAAATGATAGCATATAGATGTATAGCGAGAAAAATGTCTCCTGATAATGTTGTTTTTGAGATTCTAAAAATTTAATTTCAATTTGTAAGGAAAACACACACCTGAGGCCATTTTACGCTTGCTTCAATTTTCCTCATCTATCATTTCATTAATGGATTTGTGAGTTTTTTGGTCTAAGATGGATATTGATAGTATATGATTGTAATTGATGGTTAATATATCTTAATAGTGTTATTTCCTGTAGCTCAGGCTGCCACCAGGGTTCTTGTTTTAATGACAGGACATTTTAAAGGGGCAGTTCACAGAATTTTCATTATCAAAAACATTCTTAATTATACCTGAAATTTTTTTTAGAGGGACAGATGCGCCATTTTTAGGGGTTGCTTTTAGTCTAGAATATATGTAAATAGACTTCAGAAATACTAAAAATATATGAAAATCGCATAATTCTGTAAAAATACTTCAAACTAGGAATTTTACTCACTATTTCTATATATGTCTTTTCTCTATATAACACAGTATCTTAAATTGACAAGTCATCATTTTAACATTCAAACACAGATAATTCTAGACACACATGGACTTGAAGGCTCAAATTTCGGTGGTGAGCTGTGAACACTACGACTGATTAACACAGCTAAAAAATTCATGTTTCTGAGACTTAAAAAAAAGACGCATCTGTCCCTTTAAAATGTGCTATTTATATCTATGTATCTACTTGATCAAAGTGAATTTTTTTTTAAAAGGGTTAATTAAAAACAGAGAATACTTATTGTTAATTAAGCAGTTTGACGTAGTTTTGGTGTTTGGTTTTATAATAGCTCAATATTATTAGTTGAAACCATTAGAATACATAGGAGACATATTTCTCTACAATTAACTGTTTATTTTACTCAAGTCCATACAGCTTGCAAAAAGCATAAAGAACTTCAAAACTTTACGAAAGCCTTTTAAATAGTTTTGCCATTAAAAAATTAACTGCAGAATTTTTTAAGTTAAAACCTTCAAATATGTCCCGAAATGTATTTCTCTAGATTTTGGTATTATTATAGTTTTCATAATTTTAGCAAAATATATATTTCGACTTTTGGTAACCAAAAAATATGACAAAATTGGACTTCCGCTACTCTCAATTTCTAGAAATTGTAAAATGCCAAAAACTAGAAATTGTAAAATGCCAAAAATGGTGGAAATTTAATTTGACGTTTCATTTGTACCTCAAAGATTCTTTTCCCTCTGATTATAGACTCATTAAATGAAGCAAAAGTAGCAGATGAGAATGATATTGCCACATCTCTGGAGACAGAGGCTCTCAAAAAAGGAGGTAATATTGTGTATTATATTTTTTGTCAAGTTAATGGCGTAAAGATTTGTGAATTAATGTGATCATTAAATGCTAATGTAAGAAGGTTTTTGCAACAAATGTTTTCCTGATATGACCTTTGACCCATGATTGCGATTTGCCCTTTTTTTTTGATGTACCCTTTTTTAGGGGGCAAAATTGTGGTTAAAACTGTTGTGGCTCTTGACCTCAGAGGTTGCAGACGACAAAATTAATAATTTGAATTTTTTTTTTTGTTGTGCCCGGCAGGGTATGCTTACTCTTCTAGACACCTGATCCCACTTTTCATTACTAAATACTTACTCACTTATGATTGAAATACTTCCTTATGTGAAAAGAAATTGGCAGCAAGGGCCCCTTCTTCACAATGTCAAGCTATGACGAACTTCTTCTTACACCTTGACTGCAATAGCCACCTTCCTTATATCACAGAATGTAGCCATTTCATTGGATTGTATGCCAGCGATTACAGCCAAACATGCCCTCAACAAAAAGTCTATAAACAGTAAGCCATAATGTTTACAGTCTTTCTCTCACAGGCTCTAGCTATTCAATCAAATTACTGCATTTACCACCTTTATTGATACAAAAGGGTGGCTATTGCAGTCAAAGTATAAGACAAAGTTTGTCATAACTTTACATTGTGAAGGTGCAAGTGCTCCGTCTAGTATATAATGTGTGATATTTCAGGTGAAGATGATGCAAATAGAGAAGATGGAGGTTATCTTACTGTAGCTCCACCTGATGAAAAAGCTCTTGAAGATCTGATGGCAGGTAATATTTGGACACCTGAGTAATGATGTCATTGCAAACCAGAGTTTCATTAAAAATTGATGTATTAATGATTTTCCGTGTTCTCGAAACGATCTTAGTGCTAGGATATCCTAGAAACACTGTTAAAAGTTCAGACTCCAGGACATCCTAAAAAATACGTCAATTTTTTTGATGCGAATAATCCTTACTGGTTGATCTTTCATAATTAGCCAATCAGATCTCCTGTTATTTATTGTTTAAAAAATCTTCTAAAAAAGACCCTATAAAGGGGTTCAGCACACATCAATTCAGAGTAGAGTATTTATGCGGCCATGCCGCCCCACCTCCCATAACTAGTGCCCTCTGCAAGATCTCCTCCCTCTCAATATCTTCGCTATGCTACTGTCAACTCTGCTACACTTTTTTTTAGGTAATATGGACCCCCATGACCTAGATTTAGACCAATTGAAAAGACTGATGAGAATAGTAGAGGTCATGGTGAGAGACCTGGACAATCAAGAATCAGAAGAGACTCTATCATCAGGTAAACTTTTTTTTATTGATTTGAGTTGAAAAGTTGAATATTTTTGGAACAACGATTTGAGCAATGAATTGTTGGGCATAATTAATCCACAAATAAATGTTAGTACTTTTTTGTAAATTTGTTGATTGTTTGACTAGTCTTTTTTCTTCAGTGGGGTACAGTGGGGGCATTTGTCCCCTAGAAAATTTGTCCCCCAAAATGTCATAGAATGCACTAAATCAATTCAATTTTTTCAAAAAAGTTTCATGGGGGCAAACCTTCCAGACGCTTCATGGTACTCTCATAGAACTGTCGCATTTTGACTTGCAACTTCGATAGTTGTTCCCTCATTAGGTCATTATACCTTATATTTGTACCCTGAGTATTAGCCACTGTGTCTATCATGGTTCCAGACTTTGCAGGAATAAAATTCTGTTCTTGGGGCTTTTGTTGCAGTCTGTTCTAACCTTAATTTTGGAATTTTTCATTTAGAATCTGAAATGATGGAACCTATCCAGATTCCTGACAATGCTCTGATTGAAGATGACATTACCAATGATGATGTCATCATTCCCAGTAAACTAGTCTCTGCTGGTGAAAAACTCAGTCTTGATAAGAAAGCTATAGTTAAGGAAACCAAAAAAGAAAAAGGTAAATTTTCCTATAACTAGCTTGTGGTTGTGAATGTTTTTAAAGGGACAGATGCGCCATTTTATTGAAGTTGATTTTAGCAAAATTCCATCAACAATATTTCTGAGACAAAGGTATGATTAGTAAAGAAAATGGTGCAACTGTCCCTTTAAGGATGGCAGCTGCTCTCATGGTAGTTTTAAAGATGCAGCTGTTCTCTTGGTAGCTAGTAGTTCAGAAGGGACAATAAATCGTGGAACCGTGTGCTACAGACTGTGCACATTACAGATCCCTCAACAGTTGGAAATCGAAAAAGAGCAGGCTAATGCCGCTGTCCTAGCAAAATTTCCCTCCCATCCCTGCATGGTGTTGCCCATCTACATTACCCACTTGGTCCAGAAAAGTAGGATGTAAAACTCTATTTCATTTCAATATGTTGTTACATCACAAGTTAGAATCGTTATGTTACAAAACATGTCTATATATTTTAGATCCAGAAGATGAAAATAAAACAGTAAAACCAGAAGATCTAGTTGATATGAGATATACCTATATACAATTAAATAGAAAGTAAGTGGCAGTGTCTATTTTCCACATTGACACAACAAGGAGAAAGAGGCATAATCTGTCCTGAAAAATTCGCCCACATGATTAGACACAGAGTGGCGACCGCCTTTGATATACTGAAAATTTATCAGGAAAGTGAGCGTATCTTGCTAGGCAACCACTTGTTAATTGATATTAATAATTAATATTCATTTTCCTTTTCCAGTATTGATGAAGTCGAAGGTGGAGCATTTTTGGAAGGTTTTGCATCTATTATAAACCTTCCTACATCAGCCATTAACGATGTCATGTAAGTTTCTTTTTTCTAAAGATTATTTTGAAAGGGTAGTAAAAAATGAGCTAGACTTGGCTATTCAGAATTGAATTGTTTCTTAACTTGAAGGCATACTACCTCTTAGGATGCCCAAATTGAAATTTTTTAACTTGATTAAACTTGCGTCTTTGTTCATCAATGGACTTACCTGGTGTTATAACTATACAACAGAATCTCTCTATAATCTAATAAATCTATAAAACTAAGTAATAATTCATTAAACTAAGTAATTTTGAAACATGCTAAAAAGTGTATTTCAATAATTATTTAGTTTAATAGATTTGTAAACGCACAAGACCTTGATGTTGTGATGTATTTTGCCTTCCAATGATTGGTGGTTAAGGAAAGATTGATATTATTCTATAAAAATGACGAACAAACATGATGCAATCAGCCTATTTTATTTCTGCCATTTTGGTCAACTATAGAGGAGTTTGGTTTTAGAAAAATATAAAATTGTGGTACAGATCGGGTTTTTTTTGTCAGCCCTCTAACAATCTGAAACTAGGATAGCCTGATGAATTTTTTATTTTGTCCAATCCAGCTTTAAGAGATGTTGTGTTCATGTAAGTAGATGTATTTTTACAGAGATATACATTGGTAGTGCTCGATTGGTGAGTTCTGAACATGTTCCGTCTGTTCCAATTCTGCCCCAAGTGAACGGTATGAAAATGGATATGTTACATTCAAAATTTTCCTATCTATTTCCTTCTCTGCCATTTTGAATTCTGCATTTTCTATTTTTTTAAACACTTGGAACGCATTCTGAACACTGTTCCAACTTGTTTGGTTGAACATGCTTACAGTTTCATACATGAGACGAGTACTACTATTTTTTCGGAAGACGTGGGACACGTTCTGAACTCGGTCCCAACTTGTTTTATTGAACGTTCTGTTGATTCCAAGAATCCATGAACATGCAGGACTCACCAATCGAGCGGACCCAAGACATTCAAATTACTTTCAGTTACTAATTTTTCAAGTGGAAATGCCTTGGCAATGAGTGCCGTTTTTAAGATCTAGCCCCTAAGCTTCCTAAAGTCAGCCAAGAACTTAAATGGCCCACACTGAATATGCTATCTGTAAATTGATTCTTGTATTTTTGTCCCCTTTAGTCTATTGGTTGAAATTCATCTCTGCAAAAATTCTAGTTTTTCAAAAATTATCGTGCACATAGAAAAATGTTGCCATCAAATTTATACAAATTCTGAAAAGGAAGTTAGTTTGAGCTTCAAAAACTTTAAAGCTAAAATTTTTTCAAGCAAATGATCGAATCCCCTAACAAAAAAAAGGTCTAACTTTACTCAGGGCACTATGAATGGTTGCAAATTCAAAGCAATATAAAGTCAGGAATTCCTTAAATTTGAATGTTTTGAGGGTCAATATTTGGTGATTGGTGGGTATAATGTGTTTAGGTTTTAGGTTGGTATTTAGTTTTGGGAATAAATATATTTACTTTGGTTATGGACCTTATTCACGCCTTGTTTTTACATCATTGATTGGAGACTCATAATGCAAATTCAAAAGATGTTGACGTCATTTGAGGAAATAGCCAATGTGACATCACAAAGCATCTGATCAACAGCGAGAAAATCAACTTTAAACTGCTCCATCTCAGAAATGTGTGAAGGTAAAATTCATCTGAAAGTATCATTAAATAGCTTGATCAATTCTGATATTAATGATGTAAAATATGATTAGTTTTAGGACTGGAGAAAACTTATTATAAATTATGAAATTTCTAGAAAACTTATTACAAATTGTGAAATTTCTAGAAAACTTATTATAAATTAAGAAATTTCTAGAAAACTTATTATAAATTGTGAAATTTCTAGAAAACTTATTACAAATTGTGAAATTTCTAGAAAACTTAAAAATTAAGAAAATTCACGAAAACTAATTAGAAATTAAGAAAATTTTAGAAAACTAATTAGAAATTAAGAAAATTTTAGAAAACTAATTAGAAATTAAGAAAATTCTACCAAAATAATAAAACTTGAAAAATCTAGAAAACTTATTAGAAAAGAAGAAAATTCTAGAAAACTTATTAGAAATTAAGAAAATTCTACCAAAATAATAAAACTTGAAAAATCTAGAAAACTTATTAGAAATTAAGAAAGTTCTAGAAAACTTCTTAGAAATGAAGAAAATTCTAGAAAACTTATTAGAAAAGAAGAAAATTCTAGAAAACTTATTAGAAATTAAGAAAATTCTACCAAAATAATAAAACTTGAAAAATCTAGAAAACTTATTAGAAATTAAGAAAGTTCTAGAAAACTTATTAGAAATGAAGAAAATTCTAGAAAACTTATTAGAAAAGAAGAAAATTCTAGAAAACTTATTAGAAATTAAGAAAATTCTAGAAAACTTATTAGAAATTATGAAAAAATCTACCAAAATTGGAAATTCTTGGAAATTAAAGAAATCTACAAAACTAATTAGAAATTAAGGAAATTCTGGAAAAGACTTTTTGTGGGATTTATGTTTACATTCATTGAGACTGGCAGATAAACCTAATCCAAATCGATCAAGAAGTGGTTTAAGATTTAAAATATAGGTTTTGAACTATAGTTAGTTACAATAGCACATATAAAATATTTTAACTGTTCTAGGGGTTATTTGGTCAAATCAGTTTTTTTTTTTCTGATAGTTAACGTGAGAGAATCCCTAGAAAAGTCACAAAGTAATTCATCAACTGGGAAAAAAGGAAAGCTTTCAATGTCGCCTCATCTTGAGGAAGCCATATTGGTATCAATTTCATTTAGACGAAGCCTACACAGAGATAAACGGAAAATTTAATACTGCCAAGACAAGTTTCCATCTAAACTTGATGAAAATCAGAATGGCTTGAGGCAAATATTATATGGAGAATTTGAAGACCGAAAACTAATATTTCAATTTATTCATGAGATTTTTTTAAGAAACCAAATTGTGTTTCTGTTTAAAGGGACAGATGCGTCATTTTCAGGGAGTGGATATATGTAAATAGTCTTCAGAAGTACTAAAAATAGGAATTTTACTTTCTATTTCTATATATGGCAGTCGTCATGTTAACATTCAAAAGTTGATGATTCTGGATACACATGGACCTGAAGACTCAAATTTCTATGGTGAGCTGTGAACACTATTACTGATTAGCTTAGCTAAAAATTCACGTTTCTGTGACTGATTTTAAATTGGTCAAATGAATGGTGAAGGTGTTCCTTTAAGCAATAATTTGTTAAAAAAAAAAATTCGGAATTCAAGGAATAAAATACACCTCAAGCTTTCTATATTTTTGTGTCATTATTTGCCGTCTCTGGAATGTATTTTTTAAGATTTAGTATTTTTCTACATTATTTTGCGAAATAAATCTTATTCGTGAAGAAAAGAAAAACATTTATTTTCATTATGGCGACCAGAAAGATTTGTATCAAATTAGGAAAATTGCAGGAACTGAAAAATAGTGAATGATTCCAAAGGAAACAAAATAATATGCCAGAAATTTTTTTCGGAAATTAATTTTCAAAATAGATTCCTCTCTTTGGAAAATTTCTAAATGATTTTTTCATAACATGTTTATCTCAGAATCAGTTATTTGTTAAAATGTGTGCGTTTCATTTTCAAAAGTAGAGCTTCGTTGTAAAGAGGTTTTCTAAATTTTTCAGGGACATAGAAAGCATCAATTTGCACCAATCCAATCTTCAATAAGACTTCTGTGGTTCCTGCAATTCCACTCAAACTAAGTGTTTGATGATGTTATTAATCATGAAGGCATTATGTGAAACAAGTATATTTTGCGATTAGTTACGTCATCAAACACATAGTTTTAGCGAAATTGCAGAACCAGACTTTTGTTCCATTTTTTATTAGCTTTTATTTTTAATATAGCCACTTTATTTAGGGTCTAAAGACGGGCCTCTTGAACCCTTGTCAAATTAACCTTTTGACCTTACCCTGCTTTATCTAATCTAATTGCTGTTCTATCCAGCACTGGCATTTTGTGAGAGAATGAAGGAATTTGATTAGTTACAGCAGATGTCATCATATTAGGTCAAAAGGTTATTTTGACGAATGTTATGTCAGCCAGTCTTTAGACCCTAACTGAAGTGGCTGTATTAAAAAAAAAAAAAAGGTAATTGAACTGCTTTTAGTCTTACAACTTTGAAATCAACTAAAGACCTCCATTTTTAATCGTTTGTCTTCAAGTTCATAGATTAATAGAAGGAGCAATATTTCATCAAATTTAACCTTTGGCCTACCATAAAAAAAAACTCATTTGGTTTCCATTGGATCATTATTTTCATGTTTCTTTGTTCGCCTTTTGCCTCAATTAAATATAAATATCTTTTAAATCAGCCAAATTTATTTTCAATTCGCAAGTAAGGTGTAAAAATTGTTGTGAAAGTGGATGAATCATAGTAGATTTATAGTCTCGCAGCAAAAAAATATTGTATTCGCTTTTTAAAGTTCAGAACCATTGAATTCAGGATTTTTTTTTTTAAATCAGTAAGGTAGAATTCCAGCTGATAATTAAAGAGGAAATCGGGATGCGTTTCAAGACAGATTCACCATTTTTTGACCAATTCTACCTTAGTCTCAGAATCAGCCTTTTTTTAGCTAAGCTGTGTGTCCAGAATTATCTGCATTTGAAAGTTAAAAAGACAGGATGTCATTTTTTAAGACACTGTCATATATAGAAAAGATATATATAGAAATAGAAAAAGAAATTCCTAGTTTGAGATATTTTTGAAGGAATTATGTGATTTTCGAACATTTCTAGTACTTCTGAAAATATAATCATGACCCAATTCAACCCCAGAAAATGACCAACCTGTCCGATTATTCGTGTTAAAATCCCTCGACAGTTGGAAATGAAAAAGAGCATGCTAATGCTGCTGTCCTGGCAAAATTTACCTCATAGCACCCTGCATGACGTTGCCTGTCTTCATAAATCCATATGGTGCAAAAAAGTAGGACGTAAAACTCCATTCATTTTATTGTCCGTCCATGATTAGACAAGAAAAACAAATATATCAAAATGACAAATGAAATGATTGAAATTGAGGACAACATCATGTGTGGTCTCTTGAGCAGCCGTGAAAATGTTGGTATCCATAGTCACTGTTATGGTAGCTATCATGTCAGACATGTCCAGATTTTTTTTTTCAAAGGATGCCGTCTGCTCTCAGAAACCATGAAACAGACAGAAATGAATATGGTGTCAGTATAGGATATTGACTGTGGAAGACATATTTTTGAGTTCTGAAATAAATAGGGAGTTGTAAAGTAAAACCAATAGTTATTTGTTTTGGTATTGCCTTCATTCTGGTCACACTGCCATGAGGCAGTCTAATGACAATTAGACCCAACTTTCGTTCCTTTTTTTTTTAATTAGCTTATATTCTTAATATACCAAATTCACAATAGAAGCTACAGTTTACAACTGATTTTAATGAAATTTGGTGTAGATTTTTCAATGAACGGATAATTAGGTACTTACCTAAAGCACAATAAGACCTAAATCAATCCCCGTAAAAGCGGACTGTTCCCCTTTAAGTATAAAGTGGGGACACAAACCATTTTTCTAGGGAGTCAAATTCCCCCACCCCCAACTGTACCCCCAACTAGCGTGTTCATTGAGTTGAACATAATAGCTTGGTATGATCAAAAGTTGTGCCTTTTTTGTCAGATCAAATATTGAGACATGAGATTACTAAATTGACTAGGCAAGAAACCAGAAACTCATAATCTTCAAACTAATACATTTTAATAATCATAAACTTAGCTTTTTCTCAAATCAAGTGATTAATCCGAAATATTCTGACTCTTCTGATTTCATGATGTGACAAGATGGTTTAATTGCAGGCGAAATTCATGAAAATGTTATAGATTTTTGGAATTTTTCATGAATTCTCTTTGAAGATTTTTACAAGTTCTTAATTTACATGTTAATATGTCTGGATCTGAATTTCTAAATCAACATCCCTGGCCAAATTGATCGGGATTTGACATGATAAATGATGGGTGTAGCTCAGTCATATAAAGTGTCTGTCTTGTCTAGTCATTTCCTTGGTTACATTCAGGATTTTGTGACATTATCAAAAGGTGTATTTTAAGAAGCATCAGACACTATCTGCCTTGTCTAGTCATTTCCTTGGTAAAGTACAGGACATGAACAAAATGTGCATTTTGCATTAGACACTGAATGCAACTTTTGTTCGTGTCACAAAATCCCAGCATTGGAGAGGGCAGGAATTTTATTGGCTTATGGTATCATCAAACAGATGAATGTTCAAGATGGCTGTCTTTAGACCCTCACTGAAGTGAGATCAAATTGATCATATCACTGAAATGGTCAGACAGTTTAGGACTAAGGTGTTCTAATGTAAACTAATCAGATAATGTTTACCTTAAAGATCAGCAGGTATTTTCTAATCAACCACAGGTAAATCTGATGCTAGCTAAGACTGTCAATCAATAATATTAATACTCTTTCATGGATCTTTAATATTCACAGATTTGGAGAACTCAAAGCATAAACACTTTAAGCTGTGGTTTATTAATTTATTAAGTTTCGGGGAGATTTTGATTTATCAAGCAACAAGGGAGGGCTGATCCAGAGGGTACATTTGAAATGTTGATGAATGGTTGAATATCTTGAACATTTGTCAAGAGCCGCAGTGGCTCAGTGAGTTACACACTTGCTCCCTTACCTGAAGGTCCAGGGTTCAATCCCGTGATAGGTGATACCTCCCGATTTTTCGACTCTGTGTCCCTTTGTCAGTGATGTAGGTAATAGGGGCTGACATTGAAAAAGCGAGGCCCCGTGTACTACAGGCTGTGCACGTGAAAGATTCCTAGACAGTTTGAAATTGAAAAAGAGCAGGCCTATGCCGCTGTCCTGACAAAATTTCCCTCATTGCACCCTGCACCAATCAAATTCCTTCAATCTCTCACAAATCCAAATGCTGAAGAGAGCAGAAATTTGATTGGTTAAAGCAGGGTTCACCAGATTAGGTCAAAGTTTATTTTGAGCGTCTAAAGCTGGTTTATGTTTTTGTTTGGTATTTTGTTATGATAATTTTATTTTCATCTTTCAGGACTTTTGGAGACAAGATAACGTTTGAAGTTTTACCCAATCCTAAATATAATGCTTCTACAGTTGCAAACCAAGCTGGTAAGTTTTCATTGTTCAAAGAATTTGGTCATCTTTAGTATTTGCTTCTGGTTGATAAAACTAAATTTAGCTATTTGGATGATTTGGGTGTTCATAGTCGTCACCCCTTTCTGTCCATCTGTCTGTCTGTTCGTATTGATTTTGTTAGTGCTTAAACATGCACAGCTTGTAGCAAATGGGGCCTCAGTTTATTGTCCCATCCGAACGACTAGACGCTTATGTCAGCCCTTCTTACCTGCATCACTGAAAGGGGGAAACTGGGTTGAAAAATCTTGACCTATGCCTGGATTAAAACCCAGGATCTTCAGGTTAGCAAGCAAGCAAGCATCTAACTCACTGATCCACTGCAGCTCCCTTTTCCAATAAGAAAGTTAAAATTAAGGGAAAATAAACTTTAAGAAAATGTCTCCAAAAATGCCTCACATCAAAATATGTATCTACAAATTAAAGTTGTCCTCCCTTTTCTTGCATTGCATTGTTTTTCTAATGTCAAAGTTAAAAGTAAGGAAAACAATCCAATATGCCTCGCATAAAAATTGTATTTACAAAATTTTATGAATAATAAATCTTTTCAACTTTTGCTATAAACTCGTAAGAAACTTGCAAGTTAAGGAAAAATAATTTTCAGAAAATGTCGCCAAAATCATAGCAGCATGATAACTTTAGAAAAATATATTGTTAATGATAGAGTATGGTTTTAACATGATTTTACTCTTCATAGAGAGAGAGAGGTAATGAGATGAAAATGGCCTGCAGCATTTCTTCGTCTGTTCTAATTAGTGGCGATGTATCGTATTATCAATGTCGTCTTTTCCATAATAATTAGAACTTTAGCTTATCCTCTGTTTGCCTGCCAGGCATAAATTACTTCTATATTTCTTCAGACAACTTACTGGCAAAGAAACTCACATTTTTTTTCCTCCATTTTACTTTTTGTGCAAGTGCAAATGTATTTTGCAAGTAGTACATATTATTTGAATTATTTCGAAAAGTATCTGGAAAATTTCACGTCTTTTCTATCCCATAATATTATGATAAGCATGTCATGTCTTTTATTGTCTTGTCTGTCATTTTTGAATAATAAGATTTCGTGAGAAATTGTTCTTGGTGGAGTCTATTTGCCATTACTGTTTGATCTGTCTTTCAATTGTGTACATTTGATTTTTGGAAAGCCTATCATGGTTATCAAATTGATTAGAGCTCATCTCATGGTGATGGCATTTATTTTAGATGAACAATCCTAGGTCAAGGTCAATTTTTGGAAATGGAGGTTTACTTTCCAAAATTGGAACATAGAGCCGACTATTTTGCCCTCTCTGCCATTTTGCTATTGCACAATATGAAGATAGACTAATTCTTTTTGACTATCTTGCTCACTATGGCATTTTCAAGGGCAGTAACCTTTTTTTGGCTCTACAGTTGACCTATGGAAAAAACAATCTTAAAGGGACAATTTCTCACCAATCATACTTTAGTCTCAGAAACAGACATTTTTGAGCCAATCAGTAGTAGTGTTCAAAGCTCAACGTCGAAATTTGAGCCTTCAAATCAAGGCTAGCCATGTGTGTCCAGAATTATCTTGGGATTGAATGTTAAAATGACGACTCGTCAGTTTAAGATATAACTCTGTGATATATAGAAAAGACATCTATAGAAATAATGAGTAAAACTCCTAGTTTGAAGTATTTTTGATGGAATTGTGCAATTTTCGTACGTTTCTAGTAATTCTGACTATTTACACATATTCAAGACTAAAATCAAAAAATAGCGCATCGGTCCCTTTAATGCTCAGACTCACAAAAGAGGCAGTTTTCCCACTAGAATATTTTACATAAATAGAGTTATAGCATGCCAAGTGTCATACATCAGCAGAAATTGACAACAAGAAAACCAACTTAGTCTTGCTTTCTGCTACAATCAAATTACTGACTACACAAAATATAATTGTAAAATGATCTTAAAGCTTCGTGTCGCAGAGAAATTTCATTAAATTAATGACTGCAGAAATTTAATAATTTACAAATTATGTACTCTGATTATTGGCTTTAATATAGGTAAGTCTCATGTTACAAAATTTTCATTTCGTTCATTTTGCGAAAATAAATGGTTTTCTGCAGTCTGTCGCTGATTTCTTTCCCGCCTTTTTTCATAAAAAAAATTTGATAGTAATAATTCTCATTACTTGTCTAAGTGAAATTTACTACAATTATAGTCTTGATTATCATGATTTTTGTTATAACTGTCGCTGCCCAGAGGAAATGACTGCAAAATTAGCACAATATTTTGCGACCTGTGGGATTTACTTTACTATCTTTATGGGTGGTAGCTTACCTTTTGGTGTGTGTTCAGAAAGTTAAGCCAGCCTTAGGTCTTTCGAGCCTGGTTTACTGTTTTCAGTGTTCAGACGGACATAAAAGTTAAGCTTTGACTTACCTCAGAAGTTATCGTGAAGTTCAGAGGTCACAATAACATTACGCATGCGTAATATGACATAGGTAATAATGGACAGAATTTGTTAAGACGAATACGCATGCGCAGACACGACATATTTGGCTTAATATTAGCCAGTAGCGTTCAGACAGCCAAACTAAGCTTAATTTTTTAAGCCAATTTTTTAAGCCACCTCCACCTTGCAAGTAGGTGCAAGTTAACGAAGTTTAAGTTTAACCGGTCAGACGACTAAAAATTCTTTAAGAACAGCTGAAAGTTAAGATGACTTAACTTTTGTCGTCTGACAGAACACAATATTTGAAGTGAAAATGTCAACACTGTGGAAGTGACAGAAGTTTAAATTTCCATGGTACAATTTTGAGGAATTATAATTGAGAGCAAACTTCAGATTTGATTTGGAAAGAAATTCTACAAATAACAGCAGGAAAACAAATATCAGACAGTATTTACTCTAGATAAAAAGTGAAAACAATGCAAAACTATTTTTTTTATAATCAAGAAACTCTGCAGTATTTAACCCTGAACATTGTAAAAACCTATTTACAAGTACAAAAATATTGATATGATTCCAAACATTTCTTATGGTTGATTTTTTTTGTAGAATAATTGACCTGTTTTAAGAAGATATTTTTTTGAATGAATAAATGACCAATTTTGAGGACAGATTAGAATGACCAATCTATTTTGTGCCATAATGTATGCTTTTCCAAGATTATGATTAAAGGGATTGTAAAGAGGTTTTCTAAATTTATTATGTGTATCAGGGACACTGATAGCATCAATTTGTATCATTCCTATTTTCAATCAGATATCTGTGGTTCCTGCAATTCCATTAAAACTAAGTATTTGATGTTTGATGACATAACTAATTGCAAACTATGCTTGTATCACATAGACACTTCGCAATTAGTGACATCACCAAACACTTAGTTTTAGTGAATTTGCAGGAACCACAGACATCTGATCCAAAATTTGTATGGTGTAAATTGATGCTATCAGTGTCCCCAATATACATAAAGAAATTTAGAAAGCATCTTTACAATAACTTTAAGCAATAAACACAGAAAATCGTGAGTAGAGGTCAAAATTGTTCTCGAAGAGTTTGTTGTTTTGTGTGGGTGATTCATCCAAAAACAAAATAAAAACTTGACCATGGATTTGAAATATAGAAATCAATACTAGTAAGTTGTCACTGCGTTAATGTCTCTTGATACTAATGGACCCAAAGATATAATAAGCTGACTTGAGATCTTTTTCTATTGTCATTGTAAAGACTGGTAACCAAGCAATTAGAGTACGAATAGCGAGCGAAATAATAACTCTTCCCTCCATTTAATGAGACACCATAATTGGTTCTGAAATAATTTCATATTAGAGATAATAGCGCTACGGAAGTCCAAGCTTCCTGGGATATGTCTTTCATTGTTACTTTTCATGATTAGAGAGCTAGTTTTCTTGTCTTCACAATTTGTCTCAGCTCTTCAGACAACTGATCGCATTTATTAAAGGGATCGTTCTAGATAGAAATACAAATGCCTTGTCACATTTCTTAAAGGAATTCAGCCGCATAGAAAATGAATCTTTCCATGCCATGTCGCATTCCGAAAATTGAATTGACAAGAGATTTTTTTTTTCATTTTTCTGTGATTCCTGCAATTTGCTAAGATACGCTTTTATATTGTTCCCATGACCACGAAGCTGTTTATTGCAGCTTTGAATTAGCAGAAATGCACGACACAGACGTCTGATTGAAAATTGTAATGGTGCAAATTGATGCTATCAATGCTATCTTTACAATCTCTTTCAAGGGATTGACCAGCTAGAAAATAGCAATTGATATGCCAAGCTGCATTTGTTAAAGGGATTGTTCTATATTACTTACCATCTCACTTTTCTTAAAGGGGTCATTTTAGGTACAAAAAAACACTGATATTTTTAGTAAATATACAATGTAATTTTTGACTGTAGACTGAAAGCCATTTACTTGAAAAATAATAATAATCAAATTATGATGCTTCCTGTCTAGTTTCCATATTTTAACATCATCAATATATATATGATTTAAACCCTGAAAGGTTTCCAAGACAACACTGTGTGGAAAAAATTGTTTTATTTAAAAAAAATAACGCCCTTCGCAATTAGTGACGTCATCAAAAACTTAGTTTTAATTGAATTGCAGAAATCACATACGTCTGATTGAAAATTTAAATGGTTGAAATTGATGCTATCAGTGTCCCCCATTACAAAATTTAGAAAACCTCTTTACAATCCCTTTAACACAAGAACTATTTTTTTTTTTTATCGAGTTTGAACTTATGTTTATAAGGCTGGGATAGAACAATTTATTTTTTTGTTTTTTTTTTGCTTGGAAATCTTATTTTCATTTTAATTCTAAATTTTTTAGATATCATTGTTTCTGTACCTTTTGTTTGAAGTCTTCTGTATTTAAAGGGATTGTAAAAATAAGTGTTTTACGATGTCACTATTGTAAAAGCTGCTATTGATAAGGACCTTTGCTATAGTGATGATATTTTACCCCTATTTTAAGTGGACAGTGGCGACGCTAGTGGGGGTACAAGAAAAATGGTTTGCATCCCCCAACTGTACCCCCTCTTTATTTTCAACAAATCCAAATGTCTACCTTTGTTCTCCAAAATATGTGTCAGAATGCATAAAATCAATTCATTTTTTCTAAAATTTTCTTGAGAGAACCCTTTAAGTATGGAAGGCCATTCAAGACAAAAGTCTTTGTTTGTTATTAGTAACTGGAGCCGTCAATTTCTGATTTTTCATTCGTTAATAGTTGCTGGGTCCGTCAATTTCTGATTTTTCATTCGTAACTTTCTCTGTCATTGCTTCGTTTCTCATGAACTTGTTGATTAGTAACTGTCTTCTTCTTCCATCTCTCGTGACATCGTTATTAATCGCCGGTTTATGATTTATTGGAACATGCCAAATGTATGTTTGTTTACCCAAAAGGTGAAGGTCGTATTAATGTTGAAATTGTTCTTTTTCGTTTCGTATCTGACCCCGCCTCGATGACGTCATAAAATATGCATATAGTCCCGAACGTACCAGTACTAATTTCTGAGAACACGTCCAGCTACTAATCAGAAATGGCCGAGATAGCTACTAATAACGCATGTTCCAATAAATCATAAACCGGCGATTAATAACGATGTCACGAGAGATGGAAGAAGAAGACAGTTACTAATCAACAAGTTCATGAGAAACGAAGCAATGACAGAGAAAGTTACGAATGAAAAATCAGAAATTGACGGACCCAGCAACTAATAACGAATGAAAAATCAGAAATTGACGGCTCCAGTTACTAATAACAAACGAAGACTTTTGTCTTGAATGGCCTTCCATATTTAATACACTGTATAACTATAACACCTCCACAGAGTAGCCAGAATTTGAATTCAGCCTCAGCAGTTGTCCCCTCATTGAGTCAGTCTGCCCCTTATTTGTATCCCCTGTCTTGGAAGGCTGGCTCTGCCACTGTTAGTGGAATTTCAAGAACCATTGCCATATGATTCAAAATTGGAATGGTGCAAATTGATGCTATCAGTGTCCCCGATACACATAAAAAATTTAGAAAACCTCTTAACAATTCTTTAACATACCTCCTTCGAATCTACAACATATAAATATATATAATATAGTATATATTCCCAAGACCTATCATTCTTATACGGTTGCCTAGCAACACTTTTAATCTTTTTGTCATAGAGATTTGAAAAGAAATAAATTTAAATGACAGTTGATCTTTGACATTTTAGTTCATGTCTAATAGCAATCTTTAACAATTTTGTAGGTATATCTTATTTTTTTTTTAAAAAAGAAAGATAAATAATCTAGTTGAGTACTTTAAGTGATTTTGTTATTTATCTTGCTTAGTGCTCTTGCTTAGCGCTCCTGCTTAGTGCTCTTGCTTAGTGCTCTTGCTTTGCTTAGTGCTCTTGCTTAGTGCTCTTGCTTAGCGCTCTTGCTTAGTGCTTTTGCTTTGCTTAGTGCTCTTGCCTAGTGATTTTGCTTTGCCTTGTGCTCTTGCTTAGTGCTCTTGGTGATTTTTTAATTTGATATTTTTACAAATGTCCTTGCTTTGAGCTTTTGAGTTATGTCAAAAGGTTAATTTGACAAATGTTCAAGAGGGCTGTCATTAGACCCTAACTGATGTGGCTGTATTAAAATAAAAGCAAAAAAAAACAGAACGAAAGTTTGGTCTAATTTTAATCAAAGGTGGTCTCATAACAGTTTTCAGAACGGAACATTTAAAATTTGATAGTGTATATGGTCGAGCGTTCCGAGAACAGTTCTTACACATGCGTCTTGAACCCTTGACATGTTTTACAGTTTTATGAGCAGACGAATTTGCCTTCATCCGGGTTATTAGAACGTGTAAAATTAACTCTTTTGTGAAGAGTTCAATTAAAACGCGCCTGAGAACAAATAATTTATTATTAACACTATTTTTATAGAACTGTTCTCGGAACGCTCGACATTGTAGTAGTAATTTGATAATTTTATGGCGTCCAGGTCTAGACCGAGAACAGAACACTTCGTAGTATTCTAATGTAATGTGAATCAAAATTTAACTTAATTAGCATAACTAAAAAATTTTGTGACTTATTGCTAATCAAATTTTTCTGAATTGAACCCTGGGAAAAGCATTGCTCTCAAGCTGAAGTGGTCCTCCATATTGGAAATGGTAGACATACATGTTGCTATTATGCGATCCTCAGAACTTATTCTATACTTCGAGACAAGTTCGAAACATGTATTGAAGTCAAATTTCAAATTTTCACATTCTATTTCATTTTAAGCCAGTTTTAAGGGCGCTGTCTTCTGTTCTGACATTGTAACAATCCTGTTATTCCAATACCAGACAAATATATTAATATTCTAAAAACTCCATCATTATAAGATTTAAACTTTCAAATATAACAATCCTCTATTGTCTGCTGCTAAATAACTGAAGTTCATTCTTCTTTTTTTAGGTGTGTTCCTATATGTAGTCTTTTTGTTGTGTATGTTGAGCATCTATGATGAGTGTGGTTCCAGGCAGGGTATGCTTACTCTTCACCTGATACCACTTTTCATTATGAAATACTTACTCACTTATGATTGATATACTTCCTCATGTGAAAACTTCATTGGCTACTATCAATGTTTCTCCAAAATGTTGTTTAGTGTTTTGTTTTGTGTTAGAATTTTACCTTGTGGGTACTTATAATCTGATTAGAATTATTTTAACAATTTTGTTTCTTTATTAATATTCTTTTCTGGTCTCCATTGTAATCTAACATGATTTATACCAAGTTCACGTATTGGTGACGTTTCTAGCTACTTATAGTATTCAATCATGAACCCCATTTGTGCCAATCAGAATATACTTTAACAAGAGAATATATTTCATTTATCATATCGCTCTACTTTTGGTTTCGCTATCACACAATTGATAGTCCATATTTAGACACAGATTTGGCACGATGCACTATGATTGGTTGAAATGTACGGCAACAGTATGCCACCTTGGTTTAAATCTTTTAAGACTACAATGGAAACCAAAATAATAACAAACCAAAATTGTAATCTCAGTTTAATGATGTCCTTTGATTGGTTCATTGAATTAATGGTGGTCGTGGGTTCTAATATCAGTCATTCTGTCTGGTGACATTACCCTCAGCATTACTCGAGTCAACCCAGCAATAAATGGATTTAGACACCAGTCAGTTGAGAAGATGAACCTAAATCCAGGTTGTTTCTTGTGGTTACTTTCTTCTTTCTAGTGTGAATAAAGCTATGATTACATGTGTACTGTCACTGAGCAATCCATTACGCTTACTTAGCAGTTGGGTTTGAATTCGAGTTTATCCTTACAGAGGTGTTGGATTTGTGTTTGAGTTTGTTCTTACGGAGGTCATGGATTTGAGTTTGTCCTTATTGAGGTGTTGGATTTGAGTTTTAGTTTGTCCTTCCCTAGGTGTTGGATTTAAATTTTAGTTTGTCCTTTATGAAGGTGATTGATTTGAGTTAGAATTTGTCCTTACAGAGGTGTGTGTTGGGTTTGAGTTTTGGATTTAGTTTGTCCTTTATGAAGGTGTTGGATTTGAATTTGAGTTTGTCCTTACGGAGGTCTTGGATTTGAGTTTTAGTTTGTCATCTACAGAGGTGTTGAGTTTGATTTTGAGTTTCTCCTTACAGAGGTGTTGAGTTTGAGGATGTATAAATGCAGAAAATAAGATTTGTTAAGAATTTGCATAGGATTTGCTTTTTTATTGAGTTTGTGCATACATGTAATCTGAGCTATAACTAATATTGAGATGCTACTTTTGTTTTGTTTTTGCATCACAAAATATCAGACGTGACTTATATAAACAAACCTGATATGTCTCTGCACCTGAATTCTCAAAGATAAAGACTAACTATGAGTAATTCTCAGCAGAAACCCAGCAGGTTTGTAATGTGTATATTATAATACTAGTATAATAACCACCGGGAACCTCAACAGTGTTCTGGTTCCCAGGTGTCGCCACCAGCTTAACACCAGAAAGAAGTTAATCAGCTAGGACTTAATGAGGCAAGTTGTACGGATGAACTATTATCGTATTTGCTCCTCCAACCATCTGCCTCCAGGCTCTTACACTGGAAAGACTCGAGGAAAAAAAAAACAAGTTGTTAAACCAATATCAAGAATAATTTTCTGCCTTGTAAAACTCATCAGGCATATCTTTGGCATTCTTTTTAAAAGAAGAATTCACACTTACAATAACATAATTTCCCTTATGTACACAGATTTATCAAACTCTTCTAACATTTTAAAAATCATTCTTGTTTTATTTTATAATTTAAAGGGACAGATGCACCATTTTTTATCAATCATACCTCAGTCACAGTAACAGGAATTTTTAGGCGAAGCCAATCAGTAATAGTGTTAACAGCTTACCGTCAAAACCTATGCGTGTCAAGAATAATACATGTTTAAATGTTAAAATGATGAATTGTCAATTTAAGATACTCTGTGATATATAGAAATGATATATATAGAAATAGAAAGTAAAATTCCTAGTTTGATGTATTTTTAAAGGAATTTTCATGTATTTCTAGTACTTCTGAAGACAATTTACGTATATTCAAGACTCAAATCAACTTGGAAAATGACAAACCTGTCCCTTTAAAGGGATTGTTTTCTAAATGTTGTATGTGTATTGTAGACACTGATCGCAAAATATGATTTATAACATAAGATCCTTCGTGATTAGTGAAATCATCAAACACTTAGTAATCTTTGATAAAATTGATTTGATATCTTTCAAAACTGTAAACAACCTGAAAGCCTTATACATGTATATAAATATTCCAAGAAATAAATATTTATGGTATAGCTTCTTAATACAATATTTAACTGGTACAGCTTCTCTAATGCTGATGTAATATTTTTTATTGATTTTATTTTTTGTTGTCTTGTTTCTACGGATTAAAGAATTTCTTTCCAATAATTATTGGATTTTTATTAGAATACTTACAGATTTTAAAGATAAAAAATAAATTATGTGTCCATTTTCATTATTCAAACCAGATTTCTGCCAAGTTTCTTCTAAGTGTTGGTTCTTCGATGTATATTTTGTCATTGTTAGTTGAAATATTCTACAAAATTGTGCAAACAAAAAAAAACCCTAACAGACTTTTTGTTAATATGTTAAAAAAAAATGATCCCGCAATTCCACTAAAACTAAGTGTTAGATGACGTCACTAATCGCAAAGGCCTTATATGATAAAAGCATATTTGGTGATAAGTATCATCAAACACTTGGTTTTAGTGGAATTGCAGAAATGGTACAAATTGATGCTATCTGTGTTCCTGATACACATACAAAATTTGGAAAACCTCTTTACAATCCCTTTAAGTTATGATTTGTCTTGGATATTGCATTAAGGTTGTTCACATAAAACAATGACATCTACTGGGGAATGATTTAAATATCTAATTTAAATTCAGATCTCTCCTAAAAATTTATTTGATATATTTCAACAAATATAGTTGTATATTGTATTAAGGAATATTTCATAAGGATAAAGGACAACTCTTAAATACTGGTTAATGATGGTTTGGAAAATTTTTCTTTCTTTTGAAGTGAACTTGAAACCGTGCCTACTTCCATGATAAGATTTTCACGTTGCCAACAGGATATCAAACCAGTTTTTCCTTTCAATTTCATGATCCGCAGAGTGGAAAACGAAGGACTGGAGATTGTTTGTCTCCTCTTGTGCCCGCGACCGATCAGTGAAATACATGACTAGGCTAAGTCGGCGACAAAAATCGCTTAAAACCAAGATCGTTTGTGTGTCCACAGAATTAGTGATTCAGGTTAAAATCTAAAGAACATTTTCTGTTGTTATTTTAAAATTATTTGTGTCTAAATTCAATGAAGGAAGAGATTATACCATTTATTTATTTGTCTAAATAAAGAGAACGAAGAGATCACACCATTTATTTATTTGTCTAAATCCAGAGAAATAAGAGATAAAGCTAAATATATTTTCCGAAAATGTTTGGAAATTTTTCAAAATGATTTTTTTTTGTGACAATATAATGGAAATATCAATTCAAAATCTCAGAATATGTTCATGACGTGGCATTGATTTTTATTTAAGTTTCCTTTTATCTGATATCAATGTTGGTATGATACGACGCAGGTATTGTGTGAAGCTGTCGTGAGGAATGTAATCCGTGCATACAAGCAGATTATAGCTCTACTTAATCCTTTAAGAAGCTTAGTGTATTTAGATTAAAAGGCGTATTAGCAAGCATTAGACTAAATTAAAGAAAATCCCCAAGAAACATGAAGTAATGCCTGTGGATTTTCGTATTCTGTTCACATGTAATTTGTAAATACAGATTTTTACATGTAACAAGCTTCTTATATCATGTGGTTGTAAATCTGATTTGGCTGTAAAGATCTTCCGGAAATTCCAATTTGTGATGTAGTTAGATGTAGGAGGGGTTTAAGAACGATATTGCCCTCTGTCAAAGCTGTGAAATTATATATCAAATATTTTAATATCGTCATTTACACAAGCAGGGTCCTAACATATTCATGTTTTATAACCCGGTTTTCACCCCCTAAGGGCATGAGATTAGGGCGTCAAAGTGTGAACACCTCACCTCAAAAGCTGAAAATATGGATGAAACAAATTTTCGGTGGTGAAAGGTCTAGTTGATGATTGGATAATGATCGACTCGTATCATTTTTTGATAGATTCAATGTTTTTGATGATAGGATAGGAGATAAAAACATTAGACAAGGATTATTGAGCATCTTTGCCTTTTTCTCAGACGTGAGCAAAATGACCCATCTCCCCCTCCCCTAAAAAAAAAAACAAAACAAAACAGAATCCTTGGAAATTGAATAAATTCTATTTAGGGCCATCAATTGAATTGTTATTACAAACACATCATTGAAGATTTCCCTGTTTTTTGCTGTGATTGCTGCTTGTTATTTACCAATGGTTGGAACAGCAAATTTACATCCTACTTTTCTGCACCTTGTAGGCTATTGAAGACTGTTAACGCCATGCGCTTTCAATGAGGGAAATTTGCTAGAACAGCGGTATTAGCCTTTTCTTTTTCAATTTCCGACTGTCGAGGGATCTTTAAGCCTGTAGCGCACGGGGCCTTGGTTTATTTTCCATCGGAACGGCTAGACGCTTTTTCCATGTCAGTCCATGATGAGGGGAAACTGGGTTGAAAAATCGTAAGGTATTATCTTTCCGAGATTGAACCCTGGACTTTCAGGTTGGCTCACTGAGCCACCGCGGCTTCAAATTCTTGAATGTGGTCCAGTTCATAACTCTGTATTTGAATTGAGGTTGGTATACAATTCATACCATACTATTTTGTTTTATATTGTAGATAATGATGATGTTATTGAGAAATTAAAATCTCTAACTGGGTTGACCATTGTTAAAGCTGGTATCGGCAAAGAGGTAAGTTTACATTTTTTTAAAGCCAAACAAATTCTAAAACATTACCATTTACAGGGCAGAGGCTGCAAATCTGGGCGCAAAAACACATACTTAAAGGGTCCTTAAAGAGGTTTTCTAAATTTTGTATGTATATCTTGGACACTGATAGCATCAATTTGCACCATTTCAGTTTTCAGTCAGATGTCTGTGGTTTCAGCAATTCCAATATGTGTCATTTTCAATCTGAAATTTGTAGGAAATGCTCCTTTAAATATTTGATGTGTCATTTTGAAATTGAAATTTATAGGAAACACTCCTTTGAATATGTGATGTGTCATTTTAAAATTAAAATTTGTAGGAAATACTTCTTTAAATATGTGATTTGTCATTTTAAAATTGAAATTTGTAGGAAACTCCTTTGAATATGTGATGTGTCATTTTAAAATTAAAATTTGTAGGAAATACTCCTTTAAATATGTGATTTGTCATTTTAAAATTGAAATTTACAGGAAATACTCCTTTAGATGTGTGATGTGTCAATTTGAAATTGAAATTCGTAGGAAACACTCCTTTAAATATGTGATGTGTCATTTTGAAATTGAAATTTGTAGGAAATACTCCTTTAAATATGTGATGTGTCATTTTGAAATTGAAATTTGTAGGAAATACTCCTTTAAATATGTGATGTGTCATTTTGAAATTGAAATTTGTAGAAAACACTCCTTTGAATATGTGAGTTGTCATTTTAAAATTGAAATTTGTAGAAAACACTCCTTTGAATATGTGATGTGTCATTTTGAAATTGAAATTTGTAGAAAACACTCCTTTGAATATGTGATGTGTCATTTTGAAATTGAAATTTGTAGAAAACACTCCTTTGAATATGTGATGTGTCATTTTGAAATTGAAATTTGTAGGAAACACTCCTTTAAATATGTGATTTGTCATTTTGAAATTGAAATTTGTAGGAAATACTTCTTTAAATATGTCATGTGTCATTTTCAATCTGCTCACGATAATTAAAATTGTGATTACTTTTGTCCCACGATTTTTCGAGAGAGAATTAATATATCTATTATTATTTTCAATTAATTATTTAATTAAATATCAGATCTTGTTATTTTTCAACACCTACTCTAACTGATGTAAACTTTCTACCTGAAACCTATTCAAGTTATAATGTAGACATCAGGTATCAAACAATACAATACATTTCTAAGACAAACCTCTGAAGATTTCTCATTACGTTCTCTACATCAATGATGCAGACTGGAAAGACTGGTATTGTAGGCTTAAAGGGATTATAAAGAGATTTTTCTATGATTTTTAAAATTTACTGTTTGATGATATCACTAAGCTTGAAATATATGTTTTGTCCTGTGTGATTAGTGACGTCATCTAACACTTAGTTTTAGTGGAATCGCAAGAACCACAGATGTCTGATTGTAAAGTTGTATGGTGTAAATTGACGCTATCAGTGTCCCTGATATACATAAACAATTTAGCAAACCTTTTCACAATCTGTTTAATGTCCTCTGTGTAGGGCAAGTGATATGTTGGGTTATGCCAGTCTTGAATGAATGGGGAAATATGTCAGTTGCTGATCAATTGTCATGTCCTAGCCTAAAATTAATTCAATTCCAGCTACATGTCGTGTGCTCACACATCATCTACACAAGTAACTTAATATTTGAAACAGACGCTTTTTCATGATTTTAGAGACCAAATTTTTTGATCATATGTAAATATATTTAAAATATAACATTTTGTATAAAAAAAAAATAAACCATACTGAAGAAATATTGCGATATATACCCTTATCATGATATATCAATGCTTAATGATACCTAACATGGTGATATATACTCCATCGTGATATATTAATGCTTAACATCGTGATATCTACCCATATCATGATATATTAATACTTAATATTGTGATATAAACTCATATGGTGATATATCAATACTTAATATTGCGATATATACCCTATCATGATATATTAATACTTAATATTGCCATATATACCCTATCATGATATATTAATACTTAATATCTTGATATATACCCTATCATGATATATTAATGGTTAATATTGAGATATATACCCTATCATGATATATTAAAACTTAATATCTTGATATGTACTCTATCGTGATATATTAATGCTTACTATCATGATATATACCCATATCATGATATATTAATGCTTAATATCATATCATCCACTTGAACCAATGTTGCCAGCCCTAGCTCACTGATTCTTAAATTCTGTGTTACAGTTGCGATAAACAGTATTTGCTCGCTAACCTGAAGGTCCAAGGTTCAATCCTGGCATAGGTCTTTTTTCGATACTTTCGGATTTTTCAACCCAGTTTCCCTCTGTCAGTGATGCAGGTGTAAGAGGAGTTGACATGGCAAAATTTCCCTCTTTGAACCCTGCATGACGTTGCCTGTCTTAACTAGCCCACATGGTGCAGAAAAGTAAGACATAAATTTCCATTTATTTGATTTTATTTTTTTTGCAATGAAATCAACACTCCAAAGAGTTGAACAACAGCCCTCCACATTTTAAAAGATTTAATTTTTACTAAATCTTTACTGAATTAAAAATATTTTCCATATTTGTGGAATGTTCGGAAGTCATTGACATTATTTGGATCTGTGCCAGATTATAAGCTTCTCATAATAACAGTGAAATATTTTTTTTTGATATTGTAGCTTTTCCTTTTAAATAACTTGATAATTCCTTGAATGAGTCATACATTTTCGATATCACATAATTCTGAACATATTACATAACTTTTTACAGAAATATTTACAACTTTACTTTTAGTTTCATACAAGTCTTAAAGAAAGCACTAAATTAAATAGTAATTGAGGTATTGAAAATAAATAACTATATGTTATATTGAAAGTAAAGTATTGGTGGAAGTATAAGAAGTATGGAAGTATCAAAATGTATTGAAGCATCAAAATGTATCATGAAAGTATTAAAAATAAATAACTATATATTATATTGAAAAGTAAAGTATTGATTGAAGTATAACAGAAAGTAGGAGAATTTATTGATGTAAAATATGATTAGTTTAGAGTTAGTGGGATTGGAGAAGGAGGCTTTAAAGACGTCAAGGTGGCGATTTTACAGAAGTGACACAACGTTACCATTGTTTTGTTATGAGCCTCGTTCTGGATTCAACATGGCTGATGCATAAATAAGGTCTATTGCTCTGTAGAAAGTCAATTATTATGCAATGGAATGATCTACACATTGGCATGACAAGGATACGATAAAAGAAACATGTGTATGCAGGAAATTTTGATAGGACAGTAGCATATTTGTTATCAATTACCAGCTGTCTGTCAATGAATCTGAATTTTTTCGTTTCCATCTCAACAGACACGTTATAGTAGGCAGAAATTTGGGTTGACATTCCTGTCAAAATTCATTATTTTCTTTTAGAACCTTAAACCTTTTATCTTTCAAAGATTATTAGTATGCAAAAAAATGGGTTGACATTTCTTCCAAAACTTTTCCTTTTTTCCAAACATTGAGAATTATCCGTCAAAGACATGATAAACAAGCTGAATAATAGGGTTGACGGCAAGATAACTGATAAGTTTGAAGATATCACAATATGTCAGTCCATATAAGGACAATGGATTGGAATTGTCATTATTAATGGTAGTCACATAGCGGAAAGTAAATTTGCTTTCTTCTGTCACAAGAGTGAGCCAGGAGTCTTAGAAAAATACGAAAAAAAATAATACTTTTATGCTCTTGATATAACTTCTTTTAAAAATCCTAATATGGTCACAATCATAGTTGTCATAGAAACACGATTTAATGGATAGGTGGACAATCTCGATTTTTGATAGACAGGTCTATGTTTCCATGGCAACTGTCACAACAGGAGAGGAGAGTTTTTCGTTTGAAAGAATTTAGTCATGTGTCGTTGAAGTTGTCTTCTGCTGTCTTTGAGTGAATCAATAGAAGGGAAGACTTGACTATTAGAGAGAACTTGCTTTGCTATCATTAGTCTTAACAATGTTGAACTTGTTTTGTAGTTCAGTACAAAGTGTAACTTGTTTGAAACACTTGTTGCTTCTGTTTTTTAAGTATTTTTAAGTCAAAATATACATTGTATTTATTTCAACATTTGAAATATGATTCCTGTTGAAGCAAGGGATTCATAAATTAAAGCAAAGTTAGTTATAGATAAGGGGTCCTTCCAGCTTGCTAAAAAATTCTGTTACCATGCAACTTAAGAAATACAGACCAAAAAGTTGGCAAAACATTTTCACAATTTGCTTAGGAAAGCAATGATCTTTAAGAGCTGTCTATCAAATTCTTATGTGATATCCAAGGCTCATGGCCTTGAAAAGTTCAGGCCATAGGGCAACAAACACAAAATTTCAGGAGTTGCAAGTATGTATTCACCATGAGTTTAGCAAGATGCGCCTAGCATCTGAAAAAATGCAGACCAAAACCAGCAACCTAGCCAATTTCCAGAGTTGCCAGAATGTATCCACCGTCTGCTAAGTGAGGCAATAATTCTTCTGATCTATCTGTCAGATTGTTAAGTGATTCAAGTCAATTATTGGAAGCAGTGTTGATAAAATTAGCTCATGGTTCACTAAACCTGCTTGTCATATGTCACTTGTTTTAAAGGTACTGTGGATACCTTCGGATTTTTCAACCTGGTTTTATCCCTGTCAAAGATACATGTAAGAGGGATGTTCGGATGGGACAATAAACAGAATGTGCATGTTTAAGATCCCTCGACAGTTGGAAATTGAAAAAAACTTCATAACAATTGTTGCTAAATTTAGAAAATATCTTTGATTATAAGAAGATTATCTAGGAATTCAGATTTTTTTTGCAATTGTCACTTTCAAATACAAATACAGTCTAACTTGAATTAAGCAGCCAGTCAAGGGAATGCTCAAAAGTGGCTGCTTACAAAGTGGTGGTGCTTAATAGAGGTATGGTTTACCCAGCTAAGAATGACAAGTTGATA